CGTTATAATAGTAAAACCCAGTTTGCCGATGTCAGAATTCCAACTTAACAATCTCAACTGCCAAGTTTGCCGAATATCAGAATGTATCGATATATAGCTTAATGCGGAGTGACGGGAATACAGATATTGTATCAAATAGTTCCAGAGGCCTGCAAAAACATGCCAACTTGCTTATGTTTATATGAATCGTTATCATGATTACACATCTAAACAGTTGAAAATCTAAAATCGCTGCTAAACAATGTAGGAGTCAACAATATGGCATTCAGCAAACATGGACATTGGGGATTCGGTCTGCCATTTGATTCGGCAAAATTGATTTAGGCAGATTATTGAAGTCAGCAATTTGGCTCGCTCGCTTCTGTGAAAATTGGTAGTCGGTATATATATATATATATTTCCATAAATGTCCCCACAAATTTGCTGCTTTAAAATAATAATAATAAATAATAATAATGAATAATAATAATAATAATAATAATAATAATAATAATAATAATAATAATAATGATAATAATAATAAACATAAAAGAATGAAATAAAACCGTAATCCAGTAAAATAATAATGAGTATGAAGTAGACTTACGAAAACAAATAGCGTCCAGAATAAAAAAAAAACAAAAACAAAAAAAAAAACCAACTTACCTCTCATATCCTAGGTCAATTAAGTGTTTCTTAATCAATGTGGTTATAGATGTACAGAACTGGATAAGAAAGGAAATAAAAAGGATAAATCAAAACACTTAAAACGTACGGTACTGGATGAACTAAATTGTTCATATTGATATTATACATTTATATAATCGACTATTGTATTATTATTATCAGCCTATTGTTATTTTATTTAATATTAAAACATTATCATGGATATTGTAACTTGACTCAGTTATTTGTATATATTAGTACGGTATAAGATACCTTTCCAGACTCTATTTTTAGCTTACTGTAGCTTTTAGATTTATTATTAAAATGTTTAATATCGTTATTATTATAGTATTGTTATTATTTATAATTTATAATAATAATCGTTATTATTACTATTATTATAATTATAGTATCAATTTCATTCATTTATGTAATACCTTTCCAGCATCCGCAGCCGAATAGTCATGCTTTAGAAAGCATTCGTCTTCAGCAAAATTCTCTTCCATAACACTATTAATAAGTTCTTCCATTAAAAACCTAACAATAAAATAAACTGGTAAACACTATCGGCAATACGTCATACAAAAAACTCTTTTATGGCAAGCCAGCGTATCGTTAGTTTTCTTTGAGTTCAAAATTGACATAAAAATAACAAACTTTTTAATTCGAAAATTCAGCCAGTTTAACAGATTATGTATTAGTAAAAGTATGAACTGTGCTGAAATGCGGGAATGGAGGATTACGGAGAGAAAAAATATTGTTATTTTTTCCGGGTTGAATACTACAGTAATAGTTATCAGGCAAAGATAGCAATTGAAAGTTTTTTTATTTGAATTTATTTCAGGTCAATATATTCAATATACGTCACTGCTTGGCACATGTTTAAATTAGAACCAAAACTAATCAAAGCCTTACACTTAAGTCGGAAGCGATTAGGTAGGTCTCTGCTAAAAAATATTCATCGACAATAATGGACCCTTCTTAGCCCCGCCCCTAGATACTGTTGCTAAGGCAATGGTACCTTATAAACAACGTAAACTTACGTGAACTTGGGTATTTGTCGGTACATGCGCAAATTACTGGCTACTAAATATTACATTCTGATTGGTCAGTCGCTAAGTTGGATTGACACTCACTTGTAAAACAAATGACGTTTAGGATTTAAAAAATGAATGGCCGTTCATGCTATAGTATGACACTTCCAAACTCTACTTGAGAATACTTTAAACGAGGCACGGTATACGTCGGCATTTTTCTGTATAAAATATGGACTCCTCTTCCCTAAATTAACTTCTCTGCTTAAACGACAAAGTCCCAAACTTAATAGATAATCATTCCGGGACATGTGAAATAATACCGGTGCAATAATGATGATTGCGAAATACTACCCTTGATATACCCTCGCTCACCTAGTTAGTTTTTTCTTGGGCTGCATACGGTAGGTTGGTTCGATCACTGGCTGTGCATTCTTCGCAGTATATTCATCGTCATCCGACTTCACTCTAATAAACACAATATATATAATTATATATTTGTCCTGGTGGACGCTGACATATATATACGGT